TTTTTTTTTTTTTTGGATTCAGGATTTTTTGATGAAAATAATGTTTAAAAGATCAACTTTTATTTAAAATAGAAATCTTTTATAACATTATAGATATTTGCACTGCCACTTTTGATCAATTTAACGCATCCTTGTTGAATAAAACTAATTTTTTGAAATGTTTTTAACAGACCCTAAACTTTTGAAAAGGAGTGTGTATCCAGGATTTATTAAGCCTTACATACAGTATATAACACTGATTGCTAAAGTACAGTAGCAAAATACATATCTGATACTTTTCCTGAGGAAAACTCGTCTGGCTCTCTGAAATTTCAGTAAAATCATCACATAAATGAAATGCAGTAATTCAGCTTTTGCCCCTGGGGAAACACACACCTGCTTATGATAAAAATGCCTAAAAGGCCTTTCATGCTGATGAAGTCTGATTCTTACTTTTAACAAGATAAAACTTGTGAAAGAAGTTTCATTACCTTCAGTCCGGGAGGTCCTGATGGACCCGGAGGTCCAGAATCACCCTGTAAATACAGAAAGCAGATTACTGCAACTTTCTCTATTTTCACTATATTTCCTTTCCCTCTCACAGATTCATATGCAGTTTATTTTTATGTTATTCCAAGACTTCTGAAGTCATATCACAGCTTTGTGAGATGAACAGAATAAAATTTAAGTCATGTCTTAAATCAACAATAATGTTTGATTTGGTATTAATGATACAACAGACAAAACTTCCAGTAAATAATTACATTTTTATTCATTTGATTATTATATACGTGTTAATGTGCCTGTATGTCTGTTGGAGAGATTGTAGATGTGTGTGTGTGTGTGTGTGTGTGTGTGTGTGTGTGTGTGTACAGCTAGAAAAATAAGGCATGTGTAGCTATAAAACAACGCCAGTTCCCCAGTCACACCTGCAGCCACGGTTCAATTGACTAATTAGTTTAATGTGTGGTTGTTTTATTCTCCACATTTCAGTGTTTTTAACCACAGCAAATATAAATGGAAAATTTAGAGTAAACAACTTTCAGATTCTCCAGAGGACTAGACGTAAACACAATGCTTATTAAATGCAATTTTACACGCTCATGGCAGGAAACTGTAAAACAAGAATGAAACAAACTGCATGCTCTTTCTTTTAAACCTAATTGGCTAGTAGCTTTGAGAATCTGTTACACATGGAACATTTGTAACAAATTTTAGCAAAGTTACACTATTCAATAATATATTTGATGTTATCAAACTGATGAATACATTACCTTTGGTCCCTCTTTGCCTTTTCCTGGCAAACCAATTTCTCCTCTTAAACCAGGCTCACCAGTTGGACCAGGGGGTCCAGGGGGACCATATTTACCAGCATCTCCCTGGCGGGATATAAAGAACCATTTTAGACAGGGTGAATTATGATTATGGTTCATAATTACATCAACTTGAGTTAGAGTAATTCATAGATGCTTGGTGTAAAATGACACAACATATCCAACAGAACGTCCACACCAAAAGCTAGACTTGCCAGTTTTTTTTAGTTTTACATATAGTTTATTTCATTAGTTCACTTTCATACCTTCTCTCCTCTCTGTCCAGCAATACCAGGTGGACCGATGCTACCTGGAATACCCTGAAAAAAAAAAAACAATATATCTAAATTATAAAACTTAAAATTTCCATAAATATTTGCTTTTATAAGTTATAATTACAAAATGAGATGATTAAAAGAAAAAATGGCATGCACCTGTTTAAATGAAAACAAAAAAACAAAATTGTAATATATCTTGTATTTTGGATGTCAGGAATTTTTCAAGAAAGTACCACATTGCCTGGCAGCCCTCGGGGCCCCTGAGGGCCCATCAATCCGGGAGGACCCTAAAGAGAGTGAAGAGCATGACAGTGAAAAGTTCTGAAAACAATAAAAACATCATGTGTGATAAGAAGACGAACTCACTGGGTCTCCGTGTCTCCCTGCCTCTCCTTTTTCACCAGCATCACCGTTAGGGCCCTGTCCACACAAACAAGAGAAAGACATCAGACAGTCGGGTGTGGAATACAAAAGAAACATCTCAATTGCTCTAAAAATCACTGACTTTCTCACAGATATGACTGGAATATGAAGGTACAGGATTAACAGTGATCATCCTATTCAGTAGACTGTCTCATGTGAATGAAAGCAAGTCAGATGTATTGTAAAACAGCTGGTTAAGATGATGCTTCTGGTTTACCGCAGGTCCCGGTTGTCCTCTGAATCCCTGCTCTCCAGGAAGTCCTCTTTGACCCTGGAAATATCAGAGAATATGAAGGTAATCAGATTATTTTTTAGTAAAAGGTATGCTATAATACCTTCAAAGTGTGTATATGTATAATTCAAAAAGATAGTCCACTTTCATGCCATTCCAAAACAAATACAAAACAAATGTCCATACTATGCAAGTCAATAGGAAATTAAACATGTTGGTTACCAACATTTTTTCAAAATATTTTCTTTTGTGTTTTACAGTCATATATAGGTTTGAAACAACATGTATACGACATAATTTGAACTAACACTTTAACGTCTTTTTTTTTTTTTTTTTTGCCTTTTAAAC